ACTGCCCTACCCCAATCCTACGGCAACTGCCAGTTGCCATAGGATTGCGCCTTCCCCATCCCACTATTTCATCTATTTCCAAACTTCCGCAACTGCACCCATTTCCCAGTCCTACAGCGCACCCATTTCCCCATCCTACGGTGCCCACATTTCCCAATCCTACGGCGCCCGCATTTCCCAATCCTACGGCACACCCGTCTCCCAATCCTACGGCGCACCCCCCTCCCAATCCTACGGCACGCCCATTTCCCAATCCTACGGCACGCCCATTTCCCAATCCTACGGCGCGCCCGTTTCCCAACCCTATGCATTTCCCATTTCTGGTCTTTGCAGTTGGCCGAGCTTTAAGTAGCTTGCGCAATCTTTGCCTACACACACATTGCTGATTCGTTACATAAAAAATAGGGTTAAATGGAGCTAGCTGGTTGCCCAATCAACAGCAACATACAGTCCACAGAATAAACTTCTTTGGAATGGATTTGGCGGTGATTGACATATTGAAGCTGCCTGGCACTACAAAGAGCAAAGGCAAACAACGAAACAAATTCAAAACACACTTTTTGCACACACTCTCACTCAGACATCCCTGGTCGCCTCATACTCTAATAGGTGACACATGCGATTGAAAGTTGAAATCATTGAGCCCCAGCTGACAGCTGGCGACTGACATCTGGCAACTGAGAACTTGGCAGCTGACAACTGGAATTGAGACAACCCACGTCTATGGCCATAGCTGCTATCAGCCACCATAACTCAGCCACCATCTCTCCCAAAGTCAAAACGGGCAGCAGCTATGAGTGAAAATGAACCAAAACCCCAAGCAAAAGTGTCAGGACCACATTTGATGTGAAAGCGTTTCCGGCCAGTTCTTGCGCCTTTTGTGGGGTAAGCTTCAGCACCGCGGGGCCAGCCAACTCCAATTCCTTCAACTCCAGGCCTTGGAGCATGAATGGGAGCTTTGATGACTTGCCAGTGGTGTAACACCTGTTGTCCAAGATGTAGAGGAACTTCTTCTGGGGTAGGAGGCAAGGATGCCAGGCAGAACTGTATTTCATCCTGCTGAGGCTGTCTCCCACTGGAAGCACCAAGCAGCTTGTTTGCATGCCCGGCTTTTCTTTCAAAAGTTTAGCAAGAAGTAGCAAGGATGCCTCCTGTTCACGACTGGACAAATTCAGCAGCGGGCCATCTCGCTTCAGCGCTTTCAAGGCTGGGTGCCAGTCAAGCGGGTCGTTTTCAAGACCATGATTTTTCCTGAACACTTTGCGCTCATCTACCCACTTGCCAGGTTTCTTTTGACCAGGTGGCTGTGTTGAGGGTTTCTTGCCAGGACCATCAGGCAACTGGCAACTCTCAAGATCGCTTCTCTTCAGCAAATCACGCAAAAGTTCCGCACCCATCTGACATCTGGCACTCAAAGACCAAATCTGTGATAGTTGGCTCTCATGTTTTTTTTCTCCGCAGGAACCAAGCCCATGCTTCATCTTCACAAAAATTCCGTAGGTCCTTGTTCTTGATTGTGGTATTCCAAAATGTCGGCTGTTCAAGACCTTCCAAGAGCTCAGAAAACCAAATTCTCGAAGTTTCTGCGATACTATTGTGGTCCCCTTCTCTGTGGCAGCAGTGAGCTTCCGGTTTTTGGCAAGGCTTGCCACGCACTCAATGAGCAGGAAATGAGGACGCATGCCAAAGTCGAGCTTGCCCATGTAATCCAGAAACTCCATGAAGCTGGAACCTGACTTCCCCCCCCGGTCTGTGACTGATCGAGGAGTGCTCGAGCAGCTGCTGATGTCGTCGCATTCTATTGCAAGGATGCAAACCTGGCATGAGGTTGGAGGAGATTGGTTGGCCAGATCAGCAGTGCGACAATACATTTGCGCTGAATGCCCGTCTCCTTGAATGTGTGAGTATATGCCCTGACAAAGAGATCGTTTCCACTCCACACTTTCTGTGAAGAAGCTCGTGTCGAAAGAGGCTTCTGCAAATCCTTCAGACTGAAGTAAACGTTCCAGCACTGCACTGACAATCGTTGCTGTTCCCATGCCTGCACAACACTCACCCAGCACGACTGTCTCTTTGCACACTCCACTAAGCGCATGTTTTTCCTCTGAAGTCAAGATTGTTTCATAGATCCTTCTGGTGAAGTGAATCAAAGATTGACTTCCTCTTGGCGCTGTCTGGCTGTCAGGCTCTGAGCCTGTTTCAGACCCACTGCCAATCTGAGACTGTTTTGTTGATGAAGCTTGCTGCGCTGAACGCACCAACCTGATCCTCTTCGTCTCTTCTGTCTCTGAAGTCTGTTCACTGTCATTGTTTGACTCTGCTGCTGGTTTGCTTGAATGCAATGAATCAATCCCTTTGCGTTTCTTCTGACATCTGGCAACTGTGCTTCTGGCATTTGGCGCCTTTGACCTGTGGGTCTGTTTTTTCCCTCTCCCACGCCCTCTTCCACGTCCTTGCCGGGGCTCTTCACATCCTGCTTCATGAGGCGGTTCAGAGGTTGAAGATGTGTGGCTGCCATCATCTTCCATAGCTGATATGACCACAAGACTCCAGCGCAAGTGCTTGGTTCATTTCACGTAACAAATAAACAAGAACACTGCAGTGAAGTCATAGCAGTCTTGCTTCAGATTGACATCTACCTGAACTAGCTATGAAGCAAGACCTGAAGCCTTCTGCACAACCGCACAGTGAAAGGCGAAAGGAAGGCTGTGGATGTTGGCAACTCACCAGAAAACAGCATCTCTTGAGGCCTCACTCCAGACGCGGACGACCAAAAGCGCTGACCTGTCCAGATACATTTGGCCTTCTTTTACTCAGACAAGAAATCATGACTCCCTGAGCCATCATCCCATCTATGGTTGTGATTTCTCACCAACAAGTTCTGCTCAAGCAAATCAAATGAACTGAAAGAATTGGGCATGCCTGCTGGTCCACAGACGCGCATGAAGGCCTGGCATCTTCCACCTCAGCCGGCACTAGGTGAGAGGAGAATGGTGGAGAACGGTGGAGAACTGAATTTAGGTCATGGAAGCAAAACAGCACGTTTTCTTTTTTTGCCTTTAGTTGAACAGTCAAACTCACTTGAGCTGGTGTCAAGCATCCCACAAACCCCATGACATGACAAATGTGAAGTGACAAACAACTGGCATCTAACCACTAGCTTGCACTGCGAGCTCCTGGCAAGCCCTTGGTAGCCATCCATTGCTGGCGCAAAGCAATCGCAGACTTCTTGTACATATCTTCATCATACACGCAATCCTTCCACTGACCCTGGCAAAACTTGTAGAAGGAAGTCTCTTCGAAAGCTGGAAGTTTTGTGTCAGCAGCATTCTCGAAAGCAAGCTTCATGGCACGCCATTTGATAAGGCTCTCAGGATTCTTTGGGGGGTTCCGGTTAGCAAAGCTTTTCTTTTGTTTTTTGGCTTCTGGCTCTAACCCTTCCCCCTCAGAAGGCTTTGGACACGTGCGGTTGCCAGGCTTGGCATGTGTGCCAACATTCCGCGCAGTTGGCACATCCTCCAAAGCCACAGTGCCATTCTCCAAAGCCAAAACCTCACACTTTGATGAGTTTGACTCATCTTCTAGACACAGTTGAGGCTTTGCCAGTGGCCTGGCTTGGGTTTTCAGTAGCTCCATCCATTTCGACTGGCCACTGGCAACAACATCTGAAGATTCCTGACAAAGCTGGGCGTTTGGCATCTGCATTCCATCATGCATCTTCACTTCCTCCAGAGTAGGGCACCAGTCCATATCAAGAACTTTGGTTTGAGCTTTCACATCACTTCCCTGAAGTTTGGCTGCCTCAGACACATCGGAACGCGAGAGCTGGGTCTTCTGCAGCATGAACTCAAAAGCTGCTGCGCCAGCCATGACAGCTCTTGACACAGAATTTTGGAACAAGTTGGTGCTATTGTCACTCACAGCCTGAGCCATACACAGAAGGAACAGCATGAGCGAGGATTGTGTTTAGATAGTTGCTGCAAGCTTGGCAATTGAGGTCCCAGCGCGCAAATGAGGGTTTGGACGATGATGTACCTCGAACGGACTAGCTTGGGGGCGGTTGGATGTTCAAGGAGGTGCAAAGTTTGGAAGGGACAAACCATCACACATGTTTTCAACACATTCCAACACGTTTCCATCCCTGCACCATTTTCAGCTCGATGTGGCATAGGTTACAAAATCAAATCACACATGTCTTACATGGCTGCAAAGACTGTGCGGTTGAGCACTTCAAATGCTTGCAAGAACGATCCAAATGCCAGCATTTCCCATGGGGCGCAATGTGCACAAAGTCTTTCTGGATGAGCTTGGCTTTTGCACGCTGACATTCAGCTCTCAGCTCTGCAACTTCTTTCTCCATTTTCAACTTCTCACATGTGAGTGCTGAAACAGCACTCTCCAGTTTTCCAACTTTACATTGCAACTCACTCTGAGCATCTGGCATCTGCCGCTGGAGGCCTTTCACCTGACCCCGCAATTGAAAAACCAAAACAATGAGCGCAAGGAAAACTGCCGTGAAGACTTCCCATTCAAAACCCCATTCTGTCGCATTCTCCAGCTGCCCATTTCCAGGCTGATTTGACATGATGGATGAGGCCGGAACCTGGGTAATTCAAGGTGCTGAAGCGTTTCACTCAGTCCTCTTGCCTCAAGGTTGAGCAAAAATAGCTGCAGGGGAACAGGGAACGCACCCTCTTTCCCTTTGTCACTTTGATGCACTCCAGGCCCAGTAGTAGAAGAGTGTTGCCACTAGGTCCCACACATGATAAGATTCTTCCATGTCCGACTGCTATGAAAAGAGGCTCAAGAAACGCACACAAATTTGGCTGAGCTCCCCACCAGGACACCAACCATCCCATCTGTCATCTGCCATCTGTCATCTAAGCAACGCCTGCGCCTCAGCGCGCCCATTCCCACGTTCAAATGAAGAAACCAAAGAAAACCAATGACAGCCGACAGTTGACAGTTGAACAGGTTTGACAGTTGACAGTTGAAAGCAGATCAGTCAATACGCGAGAGCACTAAGACAGCAGCGCGGACCAAGGATTCCCACAGACCTGGGCAGTCACATAGGCCGCTTGTGGCAATGGTAAAAACCAACTGTCGTCACTTCAGTTCAGCACCAAGATAGGCCTGATTTGTCTCATAGATAAACATAAAAGACAATGAGTTTTAAGTGGCAGGCAGCCTGGAAGCAGGAATCAGCCTGCCAAGTTCTTTTCCAGCCACTGATCACAAAGGAAGAGCCGTTGGGTGTAACACAACTGACAACTGGCCACCTGAAGATTGCCTCGTCTGTCAATGGATAATGCCGTCATTTGCGCAGGACCTGCCAGACAGTCTCAAGTTGGAAAGTCAACAGCTCAGTGAAACAAGGTGCAAGCGTAGTGCTTTTTCTGTTGGCCGCACTCATCAGAGCCATATAAAGTTCATATTATTCACAGGACGCAACACCGCTTCAAACCTCTGTCAGTGCATGATGACTGACTCGCACATCACGCCTTTGGCATCCACTATTGACCTCCAGTTGCCTGGCCCCAAATGATGCAGGGATTCTAAAAGGACCCATCAGCTGCTCTCTTGGAGAAACCAGATCTGCAAGACACAGAGAGTACCAAAGGCTTGCAGACACTGGCAAACCAAGGGTGTTCTTGCGACACTGTTCTTTTCCTTTTTCACTGCGCTTGTCTGCCAGCGAAGGATTTCAAAAAAAACTAGATGGCACCCTCCACCAAATCACAGCAATGTTCTAAAAATCAACCAGTACATATTGTTTGGTTGAGCTTTTCTGTTTTGGCGCCATCTAGACTACTGTCCATTTGCGCTTGTCTGCCAGCGACTGATTTCAAAAACATCTAAATGGCACCCTGCGCCAACAGCAACTTTCAATTGTCAACCAGTACATGATGTTTCGCTATGTTTCTTGTTTGTTTTCTGTATTGGTGCCACCTAGAAGACTTGGGCACAGCAACCACTTGTACCATTTGACATCTGGCATCTATCAAGAGAAATCCAGGCCAAGACATTTGGCATCACATGACATCTGGCATCACATGACATCTGGCATCGCATGACATCTGGCACATGACATCTGGCAAGGAAGCTTTTCCTGACGACATCTGACATCTGGCATCTATATCTTCCCATTCACCGCCAGGACCACCGGGACCTCTTCCAATCAGCAGACTCAGGACGCCATTCACTCTTGAAGATCCATTGTAGCTTTTCGCGGCAATGGGCTGTCACAAAAGCCGATGGATTATCGTGACGGGCTGCATCCTGGACCATACGGCGCAGTGGCATAACGAGGTTCCGGGCATACAGGAGGCCTTCATCTGAATATTCAGCCAGGCCACACAGCGCCAAACAAGCAGACTTGTCAACCTTGAGCGCCTTCATGTACATTGCCAGGGCAGGTGAGATTTGTTGCAACCTCGCCATTTCTTCCCAATCACGGCCATGTTCCTGAGGAGCGGCTGCTGGCTCTGCTGGCTGCTGATGCTGAGGGTCGGCTGTGGGGCGGGAAGCCGTTCCTGGTGTTCCCTCACGCTCATCATATCGCTCATCATGCAAGAAGAATTTGCCGGTGTTTTTGAGCCACTGCTGGATCTTTGGGCTGAACTGTTGAACGAGAGTGTCCCTCGGTGGCTTGCCCTTGAGGGTGTTCAGGCCATGGAGAGTTGGGAGGTAAACATCCACTTCGCAGATCCAGGCGATGCAGCCTGCAACCAAACGGGACCGATTCCTCCCATGTGAGCAGCACAGACTTAGAACCAACTGGCCATCTTCCACCTCTTTCATGAACTGCGAGACGGTGCCCATGACAAACCGGATGGCGTTCACACAGCAGGGCTCTACCACCATCTCTTCAAAGTCTGGTGCGGTTGAAGCTTTACTTGGGTCGTTCACCATAATGCCGCGGAGGTCCAGTGTCAAGTGGGTCGCCTGTGGAAAGGCTCTCTTCAGAGCTCCAGGCACGCAAGTACGACCTTTTCCATGGTCCCTTCCATAGTCTTCCTCAACGCCCCAAGCCACCACAACGAGGGACGATCCATCTGGCAACTGGCATCCTTGACCTCTGACATCTGAAGCTTTTTCTCCCGAGCTCCTTGGGCCTTGACGCCCATGCCGGGATGCCGGACGAGTTTTGGCCGACATCTGGAATCTGGAAACTAGGCAACCTAAAGGTACAACTGACGTCAGGCCACCTAAGAGAGTTTGAAGTGAAAAGCGCCAACAGAACAGTCATAGTGTCATCTGAAGTTTCACGCGCGCAAGACTGAAGCTTGAACACCATCGTAAATGCATGAAGTTGACACATCCTTCAAAAACACAGGCAGCTCTCAAACTGGTCAGGCTGACCACAAAGAAGTGGCAACGTACTGGTTGTTCACCAACGTCTGCCTGGGCGAACCATTTTCGATGAAAAACAACATTGTCTCAAAAGCAAGCATGGTTGCTTGACATCTCAAAACGAAGCATCATTGATTGGCAACTTTGCAAGTGATCAACTGGCTGAGGTCAGGACCGTTGGCGGTCATCTGAACTCATTGCTTCCATGGCCAACTGACAACTGACAACTTCATCTGACAGCTTGCGACTCCTTGCTGCCATGAATGCCGGAGACACTGGGTCACTGGGAGCCCCCTCAAATCCTGCAAATATTCAACCTGCGTTTACATAATTGGGCTTTGGCCTTTGCAACGCTGTTTCAAAGAGAAAGAATGTGGTCTGCAGTTTGCGCGCGTGAGCCTGTCAGCCTTCAACACAAGTCAGTCTCTTCAGCAGCTAGTTTGTTTCAAATGCAGAAGCTACAGTAGGTGGAGATCAATACCAACCTGACAACCGCAACCCCAATCTGACATCAATGCAAAGCTGACTAATTTAGGTTCCTACTACAGGCATTTAATGCCCAACTAAATAGGTAGAGACTTGAAGCTTGAAACCTGGAGGCCAACATGTCTCTTCAACTGCCACTGAACACGCTCAGCTTTCTCAACGACATGAACACAAGAATAAGAGCAAACCAGTTTTCATATATGCTACCTAAGGAGTTGACAGCGAAAAAGAAAACGACGCAAGCCATGAACCCGAATGCATTTGACGCTTTTGACGCTTATACATTCTTAAAGCACCGACCCACAACCCCAAACAAATACAGAGACTGTGTTAGCCTTGAACAAGTGAAGCGCGCCGCCGTGCAACAAAGGGCCGCATCACTGCACGCAGACGTGCGCTACAGTGAGTGAGATCACAACTGAACAGAGAATGAATTAGCATGGTGAAATTGAAAAGTGTTGAACAAGTGAAACATACCACCGTGCAAGATAGAGCCACCTCTGCAATGAACACACGTCTTTTGCTTCATCTCCCTACAGCGAACTAGCGCATTCAATGTCAATATGTTTTCCTGTCGCACTTTCTCAACGCTTTTCTTCAAGTATACGCGCGCAGACAGTGATATCAAACCTTTTTCTCTTTGAACATTAGTTCTTGGGTGCTAGTGGTACAGTGCACTGAGGCACTAGGATCAGAAGTGCTGGCTGGAATTCAGTGTATGGGATTTCTGTTCAAGAGTTGCGCACCACCATCACACGCGCGCAAATGAAAAGTGTCTGGAGATTGGAACTCTTTGAGGAGAGGACGCAACTCTCACAGCAGCGTAGACGACAAGGGTCTGGCATAGAGCAAGCTGCAGATGTACTTCCATACCTACTTGCGCAGATATGGTATGTAAGTCTCAAATGTAGTAACCTGCAAGCTGCAGATGTACTTTTGCACGTACATACGCCAATATACAAGTCTGAAATGTAGTACCACAGACATGCTTCTCTACCTCCATATGCAGACACACAAATCCCAAACGTCGCCATTTCGACCTGCAAGCTGCAGATGTACCTACATATGCAGATATATGTCCCACATGTAGCAACACAGACCTGCAAGCTGCAGATGCACGAACATATGCAAATATAAATATCCCAAATGTAGCAACACAGACCTGCAAGCTGCAGATGCACCTACATCCGCAGATATATTAAGTCCCAGATGTAGCAACGCAGACCTGCAAGCTGCAGATGTACTGACATAATGCAAATATATAAAATCTCAAACGTAGCAACACAGACCTGCAAGCTGCAGATGTACTGACATAATGCAAATATATAAATCTCAACTGTAGCAACACAGACCTGCAAGCTGCAAACGCACCTACATATGAAGATATACTAAGTCCCAAATGTAGCAACGCAGACCTGCAAGCTGCAGATGTGCTGACATATGCAAATATATAAGCAAGCTGCAGATGCACCTACATATGAACATATACTAAGTCCTACATGCAGCAACGCAGACCTGCAAACTGCAGATGCACTTACATATGAAGATATACTAAGTCCCAAATGCAGCAACACAGACCTGCAAGCTCCAGATGCATCCGCATATGCAGATATAAGTCCCAAACGTAGCAAGTCCTGCAAGCTGCAAATGTACTTCAGCAGCAGTGCAGAAGGATGACATTCCAGGCCACTGGAACCATCCTGAACTACCAAATAGACATGAAACTACCAAATACCTTGGCACTGG